AAGGTCAGTTAGGTATCTGGGTGTGCACAGCGTAATTCTAGAGATAGTTGTGTCATTTTATGTTGGGGTTTTACATATTGTTCATATGGTTTGTCTGTCAGGCCTGATGGGCCTGATTTTTCTTATTAGGTAGGCCAGAGTAAAGGGCCCTGCACAAGTTAATTTTAGGGCCGTGACCCCTTGGCTGACGTCATAAGCAGCTGCCCAGCACTTTCTCTCTGTGCCATGGGAAAACTATGGGCTCAGCATTGGACTTTTTATTTTTGCAGGGGGGTTGTGGGGTATCCTGGATTGAGCAAAGAAGGTGCAACAGGGAAGAGGAGGAAAGAAATGTGTAGAATCCCCCGCACCTCCTTTTGCAAATGTCACTGCGCCACTTTTAGGGCCAGTTCCCTGTGCTGTTCTGGCTGTAGCCCCACCCTCTGAACCCACCTGGGCTAGGTGGTCTCAGAGGGAGTCCAGTCTCAAGGGATTTCTAACTCGCAGTATTTTCCTTTATATCGTGATTTTTCCACTTGCGTGTGTGGGGAAACTAACACCCTATACTTTATGCTAGATCCAGAGCTCTGATGTTGTTCCGTGAGCGCTTCTCTGGGTTTTCAGTCCTTCCCCGACGGAGTCTTTCCTACCTGGCTGTCTCTGCTACCTGCCAAAACCGGAACCCCTACAGGAGCTTTTGACAAGACACTTATAGTTCTTCTTTTTCTATCCAATGTTAAATAGATGCTCAATTCACTTACCGTTTTCTTTGAGATCTTCCTCAATATTTTAAAGTTTAATAATTTTATAGTGTCAGAAAATTATACAACTTACATTTCTTTCTCTTTGCCAGAAGATGGAAAGTAATCATCTTTTCTTTAGCCGTAAATGTTATTCAAAACAAAACAAAATAAACAAAAACCAGTTACCACATAGAATCTAATTTATTCCAGAAACTGCTTAAGTGTCCACATTTCAAGCATTAAAGATAAAGATATGGTCTAACCTCAAAAGTATTATAGCAAAAGATGTTTCTGCCAGTTTTGATTCTCAGTAGTAAAGGGTTGCCTATTTAAATTTTTCTTAACTTGGCATATATTGATAAGAAATAGATGCTATAGCTTCAGAAGTACCAGCATTTGAATATCATTTGGAAAATCTTTTCAGGAATTAGTAGGTCTTCACCCATATGGTTGTTAGAAAACTCCGAGGTATATGATATAAACCTAAAAAAAATTAGTAAGTGTTCCATACATTTAACATGCCTGGGTGATGGGAACAGTTTGCAATCAACTACTAAGTTGAAAGTTAGTTGTTTGAGCCCACTCCGTGGAGGAGAGACCTGTTGATCTGCATCCATAAAGATTGCTGTTAAGAAAACCCTATGGAGCAGTTCTGCTCAGTAACATGAAGCTGTTGTGAGTTGAAATTGACTCTATTGCAATTTGCTTTTTGTTGTTGTTTCCCTATATTTAAGTAAATGAACTCTGGTAGCTGTAGTGTTTGCAAGTCGGGCTGCTAACCTCAAGGTTAGATGTTCGAAACTGCCAGCAGTTTCACGGGAGAAAGATCTGGCTTTCTGTTTCCATAATGATTTGGTGGTGGTGGTTATGTGCCGTGGAGTCGGTGCTGACTCATAGTGACCCTGTACAGGCTTTCTGAGGCTGTAAATCCTTACGGGAGCAGATATCCTTATCTTTCTCCTGTGGAACAGTTGGTGTTTTCGAACCGTTGACCTTGCAGTTTGCAGCCTGCTCCGTAACCACTACCCTACCAGAGCTCCTTGGAAACCCTACATAGGGTTGCTATGAGTTGGAACCGACTCTATGACACATCACCACTACCACCACCATATTTAAGTAATCAAACAGGAGTGAATATTGGTAATCCAAACAAGTGCTTTATGAAACACATGTGTATACATGTCACATTATGTCAGTTGAATTGTTTTCCACTGACTTAAGTTGTAATTTTCAGAGTACTTATTTTCTTGGATTTTTTTTTAATGTATTAGCTTAAGTTCTTCTTCCTTAATCTGAAATAACCACAGAATCAGAGTTCAAACCCACCAGCTGTTCCTTGGGAACCTTATACAAGTCTCTGTGATTCGGAACTGATACAATGGCACTTAACAATGTGGGGGTGCTCCCTTAAAAACATTTTTTTTGTTGTCGTTGAAATCTTCTTAAAGCAGAGAATCGTTTTAAAAATGATTACCAAAAAAATGGGGCTAAATAAAAGTCCTACTTGTAGTTTTGTGTTTTTATTTTTAGGTATACTCTCCTTTTTTCTTTGCTTTCTCCCATTTTGTGCCATTCAGCATTTTAGTAGAATAGGTCTCAGAGCTGTTCAGCTTTAATCTCACAATTGTGAACAAAATAAAAATTATAAGGACTTTCAACCAGTTTGAGACTTCTGGTAAGATTATGGCTGGTCTGTCTTAACATCAATGTATCGATTTTGATTGCTTATTGTCCTAGATGATAGGAATCAGAATAAGTAAGAAGTTTTCAGAGCACAAGCTTTTAAACATAATTCTCTTTACCCTTTCATTTGGACTTAGTTTATACTTTTTGTTTAATTTACCAGAAAATAATATTTAAGTTTTACTATTTTAAATAATGTTTCTGTAAGTCCTGCTGTGGCGCTGTAGCCACTGGACTGCTAACTGCAATGTTCAAATCTACCAGCTGATCCTTGGAAACCCTGCACAGGGTAGCTGTGAGTCGGAATCTACTCAACGGCACTTAGCAGCAACATGTCTGATTTTACACCTAAATGGTAAGATACAGAGATTAAAGGCAGTGCATCTAATTTTCGTTCTGCCTTTTACTCATTATAATTTTTGGCTTGTTCCTTAACACTGCTAGTGTTAAATTAGATCATTAGGATTTTCAGTTGATTCTTAAAATGAAGTACTATATCTGTTAGAAATGTAAGGAGTCCAAAGTATAAAAATGCCAGCTATATGAATTATGATTGGAATATAATGTTTCTTTGGAGAGAAAGTTAATCATTTCTTGGTGGTTCTAAATTATTGATAAAAGTTTTAGGTAGTGGGGCAAAGGAGTGGACATTTTTTTTTCTTTCTCTGTTGTTTTCACCGATGTTTTTTGAGGGCTAGCATTAAGCACTGGACCTTAAGGTCAGTTTGAACCACAAGGTTGGTGGTTCAAACTCATCAAGCTGCTCCTTGTAAACCCTGTTCAGGGTCACTATGGGTCAGAACCAACTGGATAACACTTAACAGCAACAACAACAAGCATTGAGTAGGTGGACTACCTTTTTTCCTTTGAAAGCCTCTATTTTTCAAGCTTTGCGTTATTTGTTGTTGTTAAGTACTTTCGAGTCAGTTCCGACCCATAACAACCCTGTATACGGTTTCCGAGGAGCAGCTGGTGAGCTTGAACCGCCGACCTTGCAGTTCAGGCCTCTTTGCAGTCTGGCACATTAACCCACAGCGCCACACCAGGACTCCCTTGCATTATTTGGACATTACCAATTGAATTGGTTTCTATAAACCCAAGATTGATCTTTTAAATAATTGATAACTTAAACTTTAGTTTAATTCTCTTGCTTTAACCAGTTGATTATTTTCAAAAATCATTTCTATTCTCATGGCAAAGGGAAATATAGAAAACCATTCTTGATGACAGTGTGCAAATTATCACAAATATAACAATTATTTCCCAATATATGGTTACCTGAGAACCATTTAGTATACTTCAGAAACAGAGCTTGCTTCTAGTAGAAGAAAGATCAGCTAGTAAATGAATGGCATACCACAAGTAAAAAGAATTAAGTATCCATTAGTATTCTTTTTGGATTCCTGGTATCGGCACTTCAGGATAATGCACTGCACTACAAAGTCAGTTTGTACCGCAAGGTTGGAGGTTCATACTCACCAGTCACTTCCTGGAAACCCTATTTAGGGTTGCTATGGGTCTGAACTGACACTTAACAGTATTCTTTTTAAGAAGAGTCTTGTTTGGTCATGAGTTGCAGGCAAATGCTATTCTTTGTGAATATTGTTTTAAAAGTTTGCTGGAATATTGCTGGTTTGTTTTCATGACACATTGTATTCCGTGTTTTCCCAAGTTTACTTCATTTGTTAGAGTTACTTTTGTGGCCTTTAAGAAGTCTTTAAGTGGCAGTTAGAAAAAGCTCTTACAGTCTCCTAAATGTAGCTTTCTTCAAGGAGCATTCTGCCTCTTAGAAATAATTGTTGTTGTTGTTAAGTGCTGTCAAGTCGGTTCCGACCCATAACCCCCTGTATAGGGTTTCCTAGGAGAAGCTGGTGAGCTTAAACTGTCGACCTTGCAGTTCAAGCAGCTTTGCAGTCTGGCGCATTAACCCACAGCGTCATACCAGGGCTCCTAGAAATAAATAGGAAAGAAATATTTGTATAATGAAACCTATATGTATTGAGTGGAATTTTGGTATGCATAATAAGGCTTTGTAAGTTAGAAAATATGTTTGCTACGATGGGGATCTCTTTGGTTACTTAGTCTTTCTGGCCTACTCTCTCACCTGCATGTCAGTTTGTCATACTATGGTGTTTTGGATTTTGTTATGATGATGGAGGCTACCAGTATTTCAAATATGAGCAGTGTCACCTATGATGGGCAGGTTTCAGCAGAATTTCCAGATTAAGGTAGACTAGGTAGAAAGGCCTAGTGATCTACCCCTGAAAATTAACCAATGAATTAACCCTATGAATCAGGACAAAATATTGTCCAGTCTGACTCAGGCATTCCAGTGATTGGAAAGATGATATAGGATCAGGTAACATACATAGGGTCACCATGAGTTGAAGTGACTCATGGCAACTAAGAGCAACATCAGTCTGGTCTACTCCAAACACTGGTGAGATCCTTAGTGAAAAAAAAAAAACTTTAAATTTCCAAATAGTCAACATAAAGAAAAGTTTCTTTTCTTCAGAAATTCTTAGATCAGGATATAAAGTTCTTTAGTGTGTGTCTTAAATGGCTTTACAGTTTGTGTCTTTTTCTTTTTGACAGGAATCTTTTAGTCCTGCTATACAGCTGCACCTTGTACATCAAGCTCCATGTAATGTTCCTCCTTACCTCTCAAAGAATGAATCAAATCTTGGGGACCTCTTACTGGGCTTTCTTAAATATTATGCTACAGAGTTTGAGTAAGTGAAACTTATGAATGATATTTATTCATTTATATGTAAATTAATGCTACAAATTGGGCTAGAAGCTGTATTTGTCAAGTTTAGTATTATAAACTTGTTCAGAAATATATTGTTTGTAAAAATTAGTATCTAACATTAAATGGAGTCCTGGTGTGGCACTGTAGGATAAGCATAGGGCTGTTAACCACAAAGTCTACAGTTGAAACCTACCAGCCGTTTCTTGGAAGCCATATACAGGGTCACTATGAGTCAGAACCGACTCTTACAGAACTTAACAATAACCATTAAGTATTAAAAATGAAACAGATGTGTTCCTAGTTGCTATTAGTCGACACAGCCATTTATTACAATTATTGTTATTATTATTCCCTTTTGCAAACCATTTCAAATGGTACCCTGTGGTCACTACGTCTTCCTTCAACTTATATGCCACTCCTGAGTCTTCTCTCTTCCTCCTTTAAGCTTTTCCAGATGATAGAAGAGCTATGAACAACTAGCCTGGGCTCTGTCTGAACTTATATAAGGACTTTTAAGTCTGTCTATGCTGACCTTGTAGTTCTCAGTCCAGTGCCGATCCTATAGTGCCAAACCAGAAATCCTTATTTAGCTTAATGTAGTTACTTACCTGCAATACAGGTGATTGTTGTTAAGTGCCGTCGAGTCAACTCATAACAACCCTGTATAGGGTTTCCAAAAGAGTTGCTGGTGAACTTGAACTACAGACCATGTGGTTCAAACTGACCTTGCAGTCCAGTAACTTAACCACAGGTAGTGGGAAAACTAGTACCCAAATTGTGTTCTGATTGTAAAACCACATCATCAATTAATCAGTTATTTAATGTTTTATTGTGAATTATGTGATAGTTTACATGGGAGAATATTCATCCTATCGTATATTGTTCCAATGCCATGGTTACAGTCCCCTCCATGCATCATCAACCAACCAAAGGGTATTACCCTGCAAGCCTTACCCCTAGTCATCAGCACAGAGCTCCTCTGCCTCTCTGGGTCAAGAGCTCCCAGCTGCTGCATCTCTCCATGTCAGCGTCTCTGCCTCCATCTCTGGCATCACTGCTTCTTTGGGTAGGGTCCCGCACTCTTCTCCCCTGCTGGTTCCAGGGGCCTCCGCTCCTGGACTGCGAAGTCAACCACTCCCCTCGTTTTGCTACAAAACATCTACCTTTACATTTCCAACCTTCACAGTCAGTCTTGATAGCAGTTATTCACTATTGTGTCACATGAGTGTTATCTACATCTCCTTTCATCTGCCCCACCTAGACAGATTGAATACCATTCAGTGAAGATTCTACATTCCTCCGTGCCCTCTTGAAAGCTTGTAAGCCAGTCACTTCTTGCCTTTGTAGCTGCCGTACACATCATTAATTATTACTGTATCTGCATTTTTTTTGTATTATATAATTTAGGCTTTTCAGGAATTTTGTAGGGGGAAATATTCTTAGAAGAATATTTATAGTCATGTATAGTTTAGGATTAGAGCATTTAGATTTAAATGAAATGCTCATTTAGAGCATTTCAAAATACCTTGAAAACCAGCTGCTTTGTTAAAGTGAAACAATATGGTAGATATGTAGTTTGGGGTGTTTTAGTATTAACAGAAACTAGTGTTCGTTGCCAAATTATACTGGCCACATGCTGATTGTGAAAAAGAAATTTTGAATATTTTGGATGTCTTAATTATCTCTATGATTTATGATTGCTTTGAAAATCAGCTGCTTTGTTAAAGTGAAACAATATGGTAGACGTTTAGTTTTGCGTGTTTTAATATTAACAGAAACTAGTGTATTGTGCCAAATTATATTGGCCACATGCCTATTTTGACAAAGAAATTTTGAATCTTTTGGGTGTCTGAATGATCTGTATGACCTATGATTTAGGTGACATCTTCACCTGCTCTTTTCATTGTGTATTATGGTTATCATGTGCACTACTTCATAGCAGATATTTTCAGAAATTTGGCTGTAGGGAACACAGCCAAGAATGTCGTCATGGTAATGAAGTAGGTGCTATGCAGAAGAGTTCTGGCAGCTGCTAAAAATGCTTGTAAGGATTTCTTCTGAACTCTGAAGTATTCTGTTTTTAAAATTCTCTGTACTTGAAAGACTTAAGTTTATTACGGGATACTTAAGTATATGGTATGAAAATTAGTAGATTTTTATATAGACATTTTAAAATTACTAAGAATTGCTTATGTACTTCACTCACAGTTTTCCTCTAAACTTTGCTGCTGAACCTTCTTAAATGGAAGCCAGGCTTCTAGAACTACACCTAGGAATTGACAAAATAGGGAAATAGGATGCAGGTGGCAAGGAGAATCTAGAAAATACAGTTAGTCTGCATATAATCATTTTGTTTAATAGCAAAAATTAAGTCAGACTCATAGAATACTCGGGATTCTATAAAACTTCAAAGGTATAATCCCCTTTATTTCCTGGCAATAACAGTGTTGTTGTTGATGTTGTTGTGAAGTGCCATGGAGTTGGTTCCGACTCGTAGTGACTGTGTATAGGGTTTCTGAGGAGCAGCTGTTGGATTTGAGCCTGCCGACCTTGCAGTTCAAACAGACCTTGAGGTCAAGTGCTTATCCTACAGCATGACATCAGGACTCCATGCCATTGAATCACTTCCTGTCAGTGACCGTATGTACAACAGAATACCATGCTGCCTGGTCCTGTAAGTCAGTGTAATATTTGAGCCCATTCATTGTTGCAGCTACTGGGTGTCTGTTCATCTCCTTTAGGTCTTTCTCTTTCTCACTGGCCTTCTATTTACTAAACATGATGTCATTCTCCAGGGACTGGGTAATCTGTCCTGATGACGTCCAAAGTCCGTACATAAGAAGTCTCAACCGTATTTCCTTCTATAGAGCATTCTGCTTGTAATTCTTATAAGACAAATTTTTTGTTGTTCTGGCACATTCAGTATTCATTAGTACCCAACTCGACGGCACCTAACAACAATTTACTGAGTGTCTAATCATGTCGTTGCTGCAAGAATAACTATTGAATTTAAAATACCTATTTAACAACAAAATCTATATACATAAATTCATAATCTTTTAAAAAACAGAAGGCAAAGACCTAACTTTTCTCTTACATTTCTTTTATCCAATCAGTAAATATTCAGTGAGTGCCTAATATGTATCAAGCAATTTTCTGTGCATTGAGTTATAGTAATTAATAAAACAGTTTCTTGCTCTCAGGGAACTTATATTGTGGCATGGAGCAAAAGACAATAGACATATAAATAAAATATATAGTATGTTATAAAGATTCCTGGAGGTACAGTGGGTTAAACATTGGGCTGCTGACTACACAGTTGGTGGTTCAAACCTACCAGCTGCTCCTTATGAGAAAGTTGAGACTGTCCATATGAAGCCTTGCAGTCTCATAAACTCTGTGATGCAGTTCTACTTTGTCCTCTAGGATTGCCAGGAGTCAGAATCAATTTGATGGCAGTGGGTTTGGGTTTTGGTGTATTACGCTATGGTTGCAAGTGGAGAAAAATAAAGCCACAAAATAGGACATAGGACATCTGGTGTGTGTATGATGTCCCTGGGTAATGTACATGGTTAAGGTGTCTGGCTGGTAACTAAAAGGTTGGAGGTTGAAGTCCACCCAGGGTGCTTCAGAAGAAATGCCTGGCATTCTGTTTCTGGAAATAGACTATCACTGAAGCATGTTATTTTTGTTAAGTACCATTGAGTTAGGGCCGTTGAGTTGGCTCCAACTCACAGTGGCCCAGTATACGGTTTCCAAGGAGTGGCTGCTAACTTGTGGTTAGCAGTTCAGTACTTATCTTATAGTGCCTTACCAAGACTGAAAACCCAGTGGAACATAGTTCTACTGATCCCCATAGGGTTATAGGGTTGCCGTTGAGTTAGAAGTGACTTAGTGGTAACTGGTGTTTAGGGGAATGTGCGTGTATATGGCCATTTAAAAACCTTCATTGCAATTTAATACCTAGACTGGTGAGGGGAAGTTCTCCTGTAAAGGTAACCTTTGGGTAAATACCTGATGATCTCATCTGCAGAGGCCAGTATGATGGAAAGGAAATGACACCTGAGAGCTAAAGAAGTCCACAGCATTTAGGATTGTATAGTTGACTTTTCTTCTGAGTAATGCGGGAACCTATTCAAGGGGTTTCAGTAGAGAAATTATGTAACCTGACTTATGTTGTAACAGGTTCAGCCTGGCTTCTAGGTAAGAATAGAATGAAGGAAATTGAAGGCAATAGCAAGGAAACTAGTTAGAAGGATACTGCAGTATTTTAAGAGAGAAATCTGTGGCTTGTATAAGAGTGGTAGCAGTGGAAATGGGTGAGGAGTGATCAGATGTAGTGTTTGCTTTGATTTACATAAGATCAGGTGTGTGGTGTGAAAGAAAAAGTCAAGACTGATTCCTAGGGTTTTGGCCTGAGCTTTAGGAAGGATCGAATTGGCCATTATTATGGGTGATGGGAAAAACTAGGGAGGAGCATTATTGATTTTGAGTATTTTAAAAAGTAGGATATCTACAAAATATTCAAGTAGAGCTGTTTAGTACACAGTTGGACATACAAGTCATAGAGTTTAAGAAAAGTGGTTGCAGAACTATGTATGAGAGGACTTCAAAAAGTGAAAAATTGAATTGATGATAGAATTTTTTTCACCATCTTTTTGAAGCCCCCTTGTTTTGGAGACTTGTCAGCAGATAGGTGATGTTTAAAGCTGCGGACCTGTTTGAGAAAACCAAGGGAGTGAATAAGGATAGAAAAGAGAAAAGGTCCAAAGCTGAATGTTTGGATGTTCAGTGTTAAAGAGGTTGACAGGCAATACAGAGGATAAAAGAATACAATGAATGAATAACACAATGAAGAGAGAGGCAGATAAATCAGAATGTAGGCATTCTATAAAACAACTGACTTAGTCGCAAAAAAAAAAAAAAAAAAAGGTGGAGGGAACTTTTCTAGATTTAAAGATAAAGAACATTCAAATCTAA